TATCTCGATATAAATTCCTCCTTAGATTGCATTCTTGCTTTTCGTGCATAAAAAATAAATACTCGCAGCGTTTATCAACGTGAAATTAGTTTGACAGGAATATTTTTAAAGCGGTAGGTACTTGATCTAACTTTTATGGCCTCCTTAATGAGAGATCCCTTGCCATTTTATCACGGACAATTCCCTGGACTCGACCCGAGCTTTTTCATCGGCGGAAAAGTTTCGCGGCACATCCGCCGTATATACACGTTTCAGATAAACCACTTTGGTTGGCGGGTCGTTACACGTGCGTTGAATCAGGATGCAGCCCCCCCGGATGTTCGGCCGGGACCAAGGGTGCCATAACGATTCCGGCTGAGCACCGGCTGAAAAGTGATAGCGATTTTCATTCGCCCGGCAAATTTACGCTCATAACGCGTCGCCGTGAATTTCCTTTCGAACACCACAAATCTTGTAACTATTAAAAATATGCAAGCTTTCCTTGTTTAAATAAAACAGAGTAAACGTATCAAATTTATGATCGTTTTAATTGTAGCATGATCGGTATGATGTTTGGAACAGAAAAATTAAATGCCATCGTTAAGAACTGGTATGTTAGAACTGTAATAGAAACGCAGCTCCTTGAAAAGTTCTCTAATAAAATTGAACAGGCAATTACGTAGGATGATTATGGCAACGAGGGTAATTTGATCAGGGAAAAGTCTGGCCCTAAAGGATAATGAACCGAGTCGCCGTATCCTGTTTGCGTTGATTCCCACATTCGATGGCTGGTTGCTTACCTGTCCGGAAGGGATACCATATCGCATGTGGGTCGACGGATTAGTCTTTGATTCACGGAATCATCGTGCCATCCCGGACTAAACGCCATAATCATTTGAGGCCATGATTCAACCGACGATGGGATCGTTCCTTGGACGAATGAATCCCGATAGGATTTCAACGCTGACATGCTAGAATTCTCTTTGGGCTCGTCCGGTTTTAAGGATCAAAGACCTTTTCTATGTACACGGAGTGTTACGGTAGCAAATGAATCTCCGTTTGACTTCATTTTCTAATCCGAGGAACCCATCGGTCAGTTCGGTTGAAAAAAATATGAAAAGCTAAATTAAAATCAGACGAAGAATTCTCGCGGTAGGAAATAGAATTCGGGTAACGAAAAGTGAGTGAAAAAAATTCGGCGGGCGAAGTATCCGTTCGCGGCCAGTCGAAAAATTTCAATCAGGGACAGCGGCCACGGCACAAAAGGAGGAAAAAGGGGCCGAGAGAATGGCGGAGTCAAGGGGGGGAAAAAAAGAGGAACGGCGAAACGAATCGACCAAGTCCCCGTCGCACGTGCTCGCAGCGCGAATTTACATTTCCATTAAGATTCCCTCTCGGCCACGCGAAACGAGCGACACCGAACGGAAGGGCCAAAACTGTCGAAAGAGAAGGAGACGCGCTAGGTAGAGAGCACAAGCCACGGTGTAATAAAGTGCCTTCGAGATCCTTTGTGTTCCGCGGAACGCATTCGTTTAACTTTGATCCTGCAAGAACAGGCCCCGATATTTTCCTTCTCCACGGTTCAACACCCGCCCTTTCGTTCTTTCCCTTTTTACCCCGGAAACCGTCCCTCCGCCCCCGCGCGACGACCAGACTCTCTCATAAAAAATACAATATCTCCTCTCAGATCTGTAAGTTTAATTCGACACGGAAGTGTGCAGGACCAGTCTGACCTGCTTTATCCTTCGTCCCTCCTGATATGAATTACAAACCAGTGGTTGTACTCATCGTTCGCTCTTTTCTCTAGCCCTGCCTTGACCTGCTTACGTTGCGTCTCGAGAGGTTATTTAGAACGTCCTAAATAATCTCATTGTTTTAAACGTCTTAATGGAAACTGACGAGAAAGCAATTTCTGTTTTCTCATTTGGAGAAACCTCAGCTCGTTCCATAAGATGCAATTCAAAACTGCATAAAACTAGATTCTGTAACAAGAACCGTAACTATTTAAATAATCTTAAGAGCTTATTCAACGTTGAACGTCCGCCGAAACGAGGGCATAAAATTTCGAGCGAACCCAACAAACTTCGCAAACAGTAGACAACGGCCCCGAGGATCGTTTAATTTCCTGTCACCCGACTCGTCTCCGTTTCATTACCAGGATCGCCACAGATGAAGATAGTTTCTTTACGATAAGTACCAGGAAATGGCGGAGGCGAGGAACAGCAGAAGACGGTAAAAAGCACGGTGGATGTTTCGCTGGTAGATTTGTGCGGACCATTACCATTCCAAGGGGCGAACCGTTCCCGACGGGTTCCCCCCTCGCGATCGCGTCCTCGTCGTTCGCTTTTAACCGAGACGCACGAGTCCCTGTCGGCGACGCCACGACGCCAGTTAACCCTTTTGACTCCGGCACGCCTCTTTGTAAAGCCCGGCCGCTTCTTTCTGACACGCTCCTCGCCGGATTAATCGCGCCGTTACCGAGACAGGAAGTGACTTACCGGTTAATTGAGCCGCAGCCCGAGCTTCTGTGTCCCCATAGTTTGTCCCACTGCGAACCGACCGCATGGTCTGCCATTTACAAATACCATTCCACTCTTTCGTCGTAGAACTGATTTATAAATTAATGTAATCACGTTTTGATTGACATTAATCAAGTATTTTAATATTTCTTGAAACACAAGAAAAAGTGATATTTACTCGTTCGGTTCCTACATGCTTAATGAATATTCCGCGAGCTTCCGAGTTATTCAGAACTCGATGAAGGTGTAATCTCGATTAGACGGGTTCGCGTGTTCCCGGTTATTAGATCGAAGTTCGGCAACCCACGACCGAGTGTATCTACAAGCAGGTTCCGATGGACTACACCCAGCGATGTGCGAAATTTCCTCGCGTAAGCCCTTGCGTTGAGAACGATTTCCATCACGCACCCGCTCTCTTAATCTAAAGGCGCGAAAACGGCTGCGACGGTGATAAGTTACGATCTCAGCGCACGACACGATCACCGCGGGACGTTTTCATTACGGAATTGGGCGCGCGATAAGGAAATGTACCAAGCGAAATAAAGTCACGTCATAGTTTAATTTGATCAGACAATATTTTCCAGCTGTTTCTTAATACGTTTCATGCAATTCGTACAATTATTCTTGTATTAAAAAACTGTTTCTATTCTACGAAGTCTGGACATTTTGTGAAAAGGATTTTCTGTGACTAATACCCATTTACTTGAGTCCAACAATCGCGACATGGCAGGGCCATAAGCGACGTGTCGATGTAATGGCTTATTTATCAGGGGAGACCGCATTGCGGGTAGGCGGCGGTTTTCAATAGCCTAATAGCGAATCGCGCAACTTCTCCACAAGCTACTTGAATTCGCGTTAATGCAGAATCAAGATCAGAGCCCCGAGGGGGTGGTCGACAAAAAGATGCGACGTGTGAAAAGCCACGGCCCCGATACGAATGAAATTCGACGGTGGCTCGCCTATTCAATATTCCAAAGGCACCCTTTGTGCGGCCAGATATAATTCAGCAATTTTCTTGCACCGGTTTATTGTGTGATTTCACGATGGATATGCGCCTAATTGAAATCTGATGCTGCGGTCTCGATTCGGTGGTTCGATAAGCCAGATTAATGTATTTCAGGTGTAACAAATCAATTTTATTACACGGTACATGCAAGTATTTTCTAACTTCAATTAAATGAAATTCATTTTTTACACAATTTATCAGATTTTATCAGACCGTGTTTTTCCTCCTAGTTGAAACGTTTCAATTGTGAACAGATTGGAACAAAGTGTTAACGTCTAATAAACGCCATTTATGAGTATTCTCCTAATATTGCCGGTAGGCAGCACGAATCAATAGCGTTCGAAAACTGTTTCGCAACTTCGAATGGAACGTAGCTAGGTGTACGCTTTGATTCCCTCGTATAGAAGTTAGCAAAGCGGGAAGGAGTTTAAGGTGGCGGACGGTAGGACCCAAGTCGTCTAACTAATTGTGTAATCGAATTCGATGATCGATCGATTCCCCCGTAATTTATACTTACTCGGAAAATTGACCCACTTCGTGAAACGGTTCTTTAAGCTTCATTAACCTTCTCCTCCTTCGTTAGAGAGTACGCCGTCGTACGAAAAGAGCAGCCTCGATTTCCTCTATTTAAAATATAATTCTATGTAATAATACGATTATTTCAACAATTTTATCTACAGTTCTCAATTCGTCGTAACATTTATTAACACGTACGTACATTAAATTGTTAAAAGAGAGGAATGATGATTGATTATTTAATAAAGAATAGTGAAATAAAAATGCCTTTTTTTACCATTTAGTAATTTAGTCAGAATTTAGCTATTTATACAATTTGTCACTGGATCTTTTACTCCATTAAGTGCTAGGATTGCTTCCCATAATCAGTAGCTGGTAACGTTGTAAGTAACATGGCAATTGTAATGGCACGTGAGAGCCCAATAAAAAAAGAGGTACGATGATTGAAGGTTCTACTGGTCTGCTCGTATACCCGCCTGTGCTATTACTTCTGCTGCGTAAGATCTAATCTAATCGATGATGCGTGTACTTATTTTTATTGGCTTCCATATAATTCTAATTGTAATAAAGGTTTGCATAATTAGACAGCAGACCTTTGTCTATATCTAGAAGTCGTAGTCATTTAGAGAATGTATAAAATTTGTCTAGTATATAAAAATACCAAAAGAAAAGTGTACATTTCATTGTGTAAAATTTCAAAATTTGGATTCTTATATGATTATACAATAATTCTACTCTGAAATCTGAAGAGAGGCAAGATCGTTTCTTAGGTTCTTTATTTCAATAAACTTGACGAAGCCTGGCGAAAGCGGCGAGTTGATTGTCAGCTCCGGGATCCGATCGGCTCCTCCGCGGCGAGCAGTCGCAGGCGTAATGCGGCGAGCGGCAGCTCAAAGAAACGATTCGTAGCGACTCGGCTCCGTTCGGGTGGCGCCGAGAGCCGTAGTACCAACCCGGCGTTCGACTCGACTCCGAATCGTGTGTATGCGGTGCGAGGTTACAGTCACTCGTGGAATCCCGAGTCGTGTCAGTGTTCCGGCGGGCGCGATCGCGGGCGAATGTCTCGTGAGGTTCGGTTCGGTTTGGTCAAGCGAACTTACCACGTCAGATCGGAAGTGAAAAGGTAGACTTAAGAGAGCCCGCAGCGTTTGATAAGTGTAGAGAGGGACGAGGTAACCGTGTCCGGTCGAGGGAGAAAGGAAAACGCGTACGTGCTTACGCGCCCTTGGAATTTGATCTTCGAGGAGTTGGTTGCGAGTGAGAACGTTCACGTAAGGTCACGTACATTCCTTGGATTTTCGTGACTGGACGCTTGCCTATAAACTAGTTGCTATCGAATACGTACGTTTCGTGCGAAGACTTCCTCAGCCAAGGTTAACAGAGTCACACACCCGGTACCGTACCTGACGCTTTCATTACCGAATTCCGTGAGCGCATCGCATGTATCTTTACATCGCATTGCGACTCTCAGTGTATTCTCGTCGACGAATTCGACGTTAATCGTATGAAAGTCTGACGACTGATACTGATCCAGTCGCTAATCTATAATCAGTTCACTTGCCACGTATCTAGGCAAAAGTTAAACAGTTTACGAGACACGTGTCGACGGTTTCCTCACTGCCAAAGCTTCCGACGTTGACGACACTTTAGGATCAGCTGAACTGCGAGGTTATCCGTCCAGATAGAAACGCTCCCAAGCGACAAAGGAGATTCTTTGTCATTGCGCGGAGTGCGTGGAAATGGCCGAGAGCTGGTGAAAAAGCGTGAAGAAGACTCGACCGTGCTTTATCGTTTCGTATGTGTGTGTCCGATCATTCGATAAGCCCGTCCGGTTGTGTTTTGCGAAGTGAAAACGCGACGCGAATCATAATTCGCGGTTAGACTTGAGTGATTAGATACGAGTCTGGTGCGTTTACGTTAGGTTAAGGCTTCCCGTCCTTTGATCGTACAGTGAAGAAGACCGCAGTAAGAAAAAGCGAAATAGAGGTTTGTCGTGAAAAACTTTGGACGACGATAAAGAATCTTAAATACGACGATAATCGGCTTGGCTGCTCGACTCGTCGCAGTCGCCAAAAACAGGTATATATAATTCAATGCTGATTACTATTTATGCTACATCTGTTATTCATTCTGTCTAACTGGTCATTCAACTTTACTGGCGCTCGTGGGTTAAATTTACGTATGGCAAATCGAAACGTTCAAAGAGACGACGTATCTCAACAAAAAAATGTGTAAGATAAAGTATGTTGCGCTTAATTTATTCCTCCTGTCAGTTTTCTGTCTTAGAGAAATTAATTATTGTGTCACATAAATAATTCAACGACTTTCACTTAAGTAATAAGGATTTACTAAAATGTCAAGCGTGTATTTAAGCCAGGAACGTCAGTTAGAAAAATGTTGGAAACAATTTTACGAGTTCGACGAAATCGAAGATCGATCTTTTCCACGTACACACATACGTTCCACGGAAATTGATCACTGGTTTCAGTGATAACCATTGGATAACTCTTTTATTCCTTACCTTTTTTTTTTATTCGACGTCGGCCTCACTGGCTTTGTAACGCGTGACGCTTTCAGGATTAAAACGAATGTTACGGTTGTATGTACCGTTAGAACAGGCTGAAAGTGAGTTTCCATGCGATGGTTTTTCACTGTCCCTGTACACGCCCTGCGTTGAAACCACGTTATTTTTATTTCACGTGGATACCTTTGGCAATAACAAAAATTCATGAACATTCAGCTGCTTTGATCTATTTTATTGCGAGTCTATCATTCATTCAAATGTCTTTATTCGATTACTCAGAAATGACGAGCAGCAATTAATTTTCTTGACTGAACCATAATATGTCTGATGAATTGCTTCATTTCGTTACATAAATGTTTAAAACTCGTAGGCAATTATGCGTTGTTATCTCGCTAACAAGGACCGCATCGATTACGTTGGTTACATAAGTCTCTCTGTTTTGATAAGAGGAAATTCGTGCGAGGACTCTTCGGAGCAGGAAGCTCTGCTCCGTTGACCGGCGTAGAAATCGTCTTGAGAAACGGGGCACGATTATCTCGCGGCCCGCATCTCTCGATCTCCGGATTCCAGCGCGCGGTATAGATTGTATCGATCAACGGGAACGAAAGAGTTTAACGAACGTTCACCGTATCGGCGCCGATTTATTCAATGGATTTATTGTTCGATTCCGTATCGGGCTCTATTCACGTGTGGGACACGGAATCGTGCACGTGCCTCTACGTAATTAACATTCATTTTTGTCCCGTGCTCGGAAAACGTTTGTTCATCGTTAAACTTCTGTTTCCATTTTATTATAATCGAAAGACAAATTAGGCAATAAGAAATTGTTAACGAATTTCATTTTCTTTTTTTTAAGATTAATCTTAATACTCGGAAGGTTAATTCTGGTTTCCATAAAAAAGAATAAAAATAGAAGTATGCGTTTAGTGTGTTAAAATACCAGACTCCGTGGAAATGATCCCCCGCATTATTCAATCTGGTTTGTAAACGTATTGAAGGGTCGTATCGCTATCAAATGTGCTCCCATCGAATTCCAGCCTCGTTTCAAACGAAACCGCGAACTAGTCCGGCCGGTCGCAAATTAACCCGCGCTGGAGCATCGTACAAAGAAACCTGAAGTCTTTTGAATCTGTTGTCAACGAGAATCTGTTTGAACAGTGAGAGGGAGTGAAAGGTTAATCGAGGCTGAATAATTCATGGCAGACCTTGTAAAGCACAGTGGGTCACTAGATTTTTAATTCTAATTTCAGACATTTCTCATTACACGTAATGATAATGTTCACTGCTTCGTCCTATACAAATGCTATTATTCAATCGTATAGATTATTATATAAATTCGTTTCAATTGTTCATTATTCAATTCTTTCATTTCAATTCGCGTTCGCGTACTTGTGGGAAGCAAATTATAATGTCATACGTGTGAAACTTTTCTCAATTTTAATTAATCCGTTTCAAGATTATTGTTAAAAATTGCCAAAGCTCTAAGTACTTCTGTTGTTCAATAGATTTTTGTGGATAAAAATTAAAAGGAATGATTCTTATTTATTTTTCCCAGAGCTAATAACAACAACGAAGGCCAAAGCTTTAGTTCATAAGTGTAAAACTTTTTTGAATTTTAACTAAGCTATTTCAAGATTATTGTTAAAAATTGTCAAAGCTCTAAGTATCTCTGCTGTTCAATAGATTTTTGTGTATAAAAATTGAAAGCAATGGTTCTTGAAAAGTTTGAAATTGCCTATAGAATCGCAAAGACGAAAGATTGTGGGTACCGGTTGCGGACGTCGACGAACTCGAAGAAGAAGGTTGACCAAGGCCGTTCGGGTCTATTTATAGCGAGGTCGGTAACGAAGTAGACATTTGCCGGGAATCGTATTTTCGTAGATCCGGACGAAGAACACTTCTCATGGGAGAACGGGTTAGGACGCGCCCTCGGGGTGAAATTATTTTAGCAACGCGCCTCTCTCATCTCGGTACAAGCCTGACTATCGGAGCGATCACTTCATCGCACGCGTCATGCCTTCCTATTGATATCAGCTACAATTCGTGGAATCCGCTAATGAGAATTTCGTTCTCTTTATGAGATAACGCAGGACAAAGTTCGCGATAACTAGTTTTCGTGGAATCAAGAAAATATGCTACGTGTGAAGTAAAGCCTTGACCTTCGTTGTTGCTATTAACTCTGGGAAAAATAAGTGAGAATCATGGAGATACGAGTCAGTTGCTCGACGTTAATTGGCATTGATAACCAATTCCGGAATATGATTCCGCAGTTTTTTCTCATAACTAGCGGAACGATAAAAGACAAATAGCAGTTTTGAAAGATTCCTCTAATCGTACAGATGAAATTACCCCACATCACGTTTATAGACAATTGGAAAACAAGTTTTCCTTTGACAAAGTAATCGAGCTGATAAATGTGCGGAAAATTTCATTTAAAATAACTCGTTATTCCAGAGGATAGTTGTTATTGATTCAACCTGTACAGTGAATTTGCGTACGCGTCGAGCGATTAAAACTGTTTTATTGGCTACCAAATTGATTACATCGCGCATTGTCACCGCGTTAACGCGGGTTCTGTGCCCACTGTGTGCCGTTCCTCTTCGCGCGGCCACGCATCGCAATTTAGAACGGAACCTATATTAATCGAACAATTTATTCGCAGATAGTATTTTTATTTTTAAGTAAAATAATGATCGTCCGCGTGAGCGATTAATCTTTTTATTAGGTAAACAGCACGTGGAAAAAGTTATATAAGCTACCTCTGTTCGTTTCTTTCTCTTTTTCTTTCTGTGTATTTTAAATTACCGACGAAATATTTCTGTTGAAACACTTATGAATGTTTTATTAAGAACTTATTGATTCGGTCGATTAAAGAGTGTCACGCTCTATAGTTTCGACAAGAAAATTCCAGCTCGTCCACAATCGGAAACCCGGAAATGGGAGTGGTAAAGCGAAGCTGGTATCCTATGTCCTCCACATTTTCTGCACGGTTTATGTTTTTCTGAACGACACATTGCGTGATGTCTCCTATCATTTTGCTGTTCGATAACCGTCGATCCCTTTGTCTCGATTCACGGTCAGATCTTAATTAACTGTTCAGAACGAAGCAGAGAGACAGGTGGCGATTTAAATTTCGTCGCATTGACGAACGTAAACTTTGAAATCAGAGATGGAATTAGAGGTACGGATAAAGATGGAGAGGGGAGTGTTGTGCAACGCAGCCACTTGTGTTTTTTTTAATTACTCTGCAATTGTGTGCACGTTTTTTAGAGCGTTTAGAGCTAGGAGCATGTACGTATTTAATGTTGGTACATGACGACACGAATTGAAGAATTATGTAGTCCCGAGCTGGAGTTAACGACTCTGGCCTCATCCGACTGCAATTAGTTCAAGTATACAGGTCCCTAATGACGTTTATGTTTGTCTTCTCGTACCGTGTATGCTCAAACGAGGCAGCGAGTTCACCATACGTAGTAATAGAGATAATGTTTTTCAGTAGCTAATCCTGCCTTCACTTTTTTAGCTATTTATACTAAGCGACGTAGAATATCATCCTTTTTCCTTTTCGTTTTCCTTATTACATCAGCTTTCCGATTTTCTACTATGATTCTGCTTGCACTTTCACAGTCGAGTCCCATTTGATAAAGTTCGAGAAAGATTTTGAATATGCATGGAGACTTGCTTATTCAACCGTGCAAACATCCGCAGTTTCCGCGCGGGTAAACAAAATTCCTCGCCTCTTGTCTCGTAGTTTAGATAATTATTCTAATCTTCCATTCTGATCGAACGTCACTGAATCCCACGAACTTCTGGTAATTGCGAATTGCCGCTTAGTCACCGATTCCTTACTACGTTTCCCTACGAGTTTAATTGCACGGCGGACAAAATACTAACAGCAATAAAAACTTGTATAAACTGCTTTTAAAAAATCGTGATGTAATTTCTCTCTAATCATATTACATACAATGAACTGTACGACCGGAAGAGACTGATGGAACGTATAATCGGAAGTTTCACGCAGACTGGTGCAATACGAAACGTGGATTTCTTATAAAACGCGAGCTCGCCGCTGATCCAACGGTTCTCTCTCTCGCCCGGCTAATGAAATTCCATTCGCCCGGAGACGTAATTTCGCATCCAGAGCCCGCGGCAGGTCCCCTATGGTTTCCGTCTTTCCACCAAATATCGTCTTCCCTCCGCCGATATTTGACACTCTGCGAACGCGAATTCCGTACAACGTCGCCGTCGCGGCGAGTAATTCGAGAACCAAAACCGGTTCGTTCTTATGAAATTTCTCGATGCCGCGCGAAGCCGTGAGGCCCTCAACATCGTTCCAGCTTCGCTTTTCATTGAATCTCGAATCGCAACGGGCATCGACGGAGAAAGCAAGAGAGCCAGGTTTCCCATTCGTGTTTAAGCGGAATTAAGCTTGCTTTACGTCGAAATAATTAAACGGGAGAAAAGGTAGGAACGCGGAATTTCCTTGAAAATTCTACGCTCGGAATTAACCATGTTCGCGTGGCGCGACTCATTACGAGTTTTCGATTTTAAGTAT